TAAAACCAAAATGACTGACAGAAGCATGTTGCAGAGACACAAGGGCTAATTTTATGAAGCTCCTCAAACCAAGACAACCTGGACAGTACTGTAATGACAAAACTGGGTAACTTGCAAAAGAAAATAAGTACTCATGAATTTATGTTGATACAAACAAATGGGGGGAGAAAGGATAGCTCTTTTTTCACAGCTGAATTCCAATCAATAAGAATAAAAGATTAATGAAAGAAGAAGATTAATGAAAGTAAAAAGTTATCAGACAAAAGCTACAGTAATGAGCATTGCAGGTAAGAATCATTAGAAGACATTAAACAAAATCACAGTATTTCTGTGTGTAATATGTACAAGGTAATAATATGCACAGCACACACAGAACTTTGCAATCTGCAAAAACCTCCATAAGGCACGCATGTTATCTGTGTTAAAAAAAAAATCTGCACTAGGTAAAAGAATAAAGAAAAATGGAGCATTTGTTTAGTCTCAGAGTGGTTCCCAACAAGATAGTTTCCACCAAAGTGAAACAGAGGAGGAACCTGGCACATCCCATTGTAAGCAAGTGACCAAGGTCAGCAGTAATGAGACCCCTCAAGAACATGCACTTCTGTGGCATTCTTCCCCCAAACACAGAACCTCCATCTAATCATAAGCACCCAACAGACAAACCCAAATTGAGGAGCAATCCACAGACTGTTCAGTGATGTTAGTTACATTGTATAGACTGAGGAATTGTCCCAGATTGGGATCCTGGCCTCCAAAGGTAAAAGTGGTAAAGTCAGCTAGCAGAGTGACTAATAAACTTAACTGCTTTTCCTCACACTTGGCTCTTTTTCTTTCCTTTTCATGTGTGACAAATGGCTGATTTGCTGTAACTGCTACAATACCCACTTCTGTGTCTATAGCCTCTTCACTCAGTTTTTCTTTGAGCCACTTAGCCTTTGGCCCTGGCACGTCTCTCTTCCAGCCTGGGTGTATTTGGCTCTCCACATCACTATATCCATTTCCTGAGCTGCCTTTGCAGGGATTAAATCACAAATAGCCCTTTAGTTATTAGGACGTGCATGCTTTCCTTCTCTGCAGAAATCACGTCCAGTATCTCCTGGCTTGACATGATATTCTTGAGCCTTCATCCCTTACACCTGCATTTAGCTTCTGTCTCCTAAACTGTCTACACCACATAATCACATATATTGTTTCTTTTATTGTTCAGAGAATGACAGGAGGAACTTAATAGATAGCCAGTCTAATTATTATTATCTCAAGTACTTAGGCCATGTTGTTAGGACGAGCTGTTCCTTAGAGAAGGGCATCATGCTTGGAAAGGTGGTGTGTCAGTGAAAAGAGAGGAAGACCCTCAACCAGATGGACTGACACAGTGACTGCAGCAGTGGGCTCAAGTGTATCAGAGATGATGAGTATGGTGCAGGATAAGACAGGGTTCAGGTCTGTTGTTCAGCAGGCTGCTCTGGGTCATACTCAACCCAACAGACCAAACATCAAGTCTAATTATGCATTCTGTTCTGTCTGAAAGGAAGAGAAGAGACTCTCTTGAGAGTAGGGTAACTGACGTGTGAATGCAGCATTGCACAGCAATCCCCAATATTCTGCTCTGGGTTACTGTAGAAAGACATCAACTCAAATCCATCTGCTAATTGAATGTATTCCTTACCAAAGAACATCTCCTGGTCTAACACAGCTGTAAAGTCAAAGAGCGGTGTGTCCTTCACTCTGCTGAGGTTGTGAACGACTAAGAGCCATTCCAGGAATCACCTCCACCTTTCGGAGCTAAACTGGGAGGCACTTTTATCATACGTGACAAGGTTCTCTCTAGGCTGGCTCGTCATAACTAAATGAGACTTCATGCTCTCAAGATTCTGCTCCACCTCAACCACATTATCAAAACTGATTGCTCACCCCGGCACAGGGCCATTCCAGCCTTTGTCCTGTCCTCATTTGTCCTAGGATGGCACGTATGTGGCATGCTGCCAAAAGTCACAGCTCTTAATCGCAGCCGGCAGCCTTGTACTATAACTAGAATCTGTTCATTGAAGTCAACTCATCTATTCTTTCCTTTTCTCCAAGCTCGTACTTAGACAAGTCAGGTCCTGTCTTCTCATTTCTCTGCTGAACAGGTCTCTGTTCTATAACCATCTAACACCAATTACAGAGTGCGACTGCTCAGGCATCACATGGAGATGTTGCTGTTCTTGAAAACACCTATGTTATTAGCTGGAATAAAAAAAAAAATTCCATTTTCTCTTGCTTTCCTCCCACTTTTTAAAAAGAAATACATGTCCACTGAGCAACCACCATCAGTAACCCTCCAAATGTTTATAAACAAACAAATAAGAAAAGCAAAAGCTCCCTCCTTCTCCCAGAAATCACAACTATGAACAACCTTCTGGTGGTCTGCAGATCTCAGCAGATCTCAATGTTCATTTCTTCCAGTTTCAGGGCCTCCTGGAGCGGTGCCTGACATTCACACCTATGTCATCCTTACGTCTCCTTCACAGGGATTTTTGGCAGCATCCCACCCAGGGCTTCTAGGATGCTGTACCCCCACTAGCTGATTCCTCTGAGCCTCCTCTGCTCTGTCCACCTTTTATCCTTCACCTCTTCATGCACAACCATGCCAGGGGGCAAACCCCACTCCTCCTGACATTCGCTTCCTTAGGCTATCTTCTCCAGTCTTCTGGTTTCAAATACAATACAGGCAAAGGCTCCTAGATTTATAACTTAGTCCAGATTTCTCTCTTTTGAATTCTAGACTCAAGATATATTATTTGTCACTTCTAGGCTGAGTAAATAATTTGAGATTGAGAAGCTGAAGAAGAATGTGGCATCAGTATTGGAAGAAGACTCATCAGTAGCCTGTTTCTACAGATAACACAACCTTGCTTGTTGAAAGCGAGGAAGATTTGAGGCACTTGTTGCAGAGGTGCATCTCAACATGAAGAAAACAAAAGTCCTCACCAGTGAGCCTATAGGCAACATCATGACAGATGGGGAAAGATTGACACTGTCAACAATTTCACTTTGCTTGGATGCATAATCAACACCCAGGGCAAGAACAGTCAAGAAATCAAAGATGTGTTGCTTTGGGAAAATCTACTGTCAAGGACTTCTCCAAGGTGCTAAAGAGCCAGGTTGTCAGTTTAATGACCAAAAAATAGTTTTTCAATTGCTTCCTATGCAACTCAAAGTTGGACAATAGATACAGATGATGGAAGAAGAATTGATGTCTCTGAATTATGGTGTTGGAGAAGAGTACTGAATAACCCATGGAATGCCAAAAGAACAAATAAGTTTTTAGGTTTTTTTTAAACCTTTGTTTCAAATTTTATTCCCAGGCTTTCTTCAGTTTATTTAGTTGCAAAGAATGAATCGTATTTAAGTGGAAACTAAAAAGAGCTGCAATGTGGCTTGGGCTTAAAAATATTACAGATCTAGATTTTATCAGATCTAAACAAAACAATTTTTAAAAGCAGTTATAAAAAGCAGCTCGAAGTAACTTCTTCAAGTTTATCTTCTTCACAAGTTGACTGAAGTCAGTTGGTCTTAATCTTTGAAGCCTCATCAAAATTTTCCACAAGACCTAGAACTTCATCATCATTATCTTCTCCAGTAGCAAGTGGTGCTCTTTCATCCACAAATCAAACAAGTTTATCCTGAAGGAAGTGCAACCAGGGTGGTCCCTAGAGACATGGATGGTGAAACTTCACCTCACATTGGGCATGCTGTCAGAAAGGACCAGATATCATGCTGGGAAAGGTGGAAAGTCAGAGAAAGAGACGAAGACCCTCAACAAGATAGACTGACACAGTGACTGTCACCATGGGCTTGGGCATATGAGAGATCCTGAGGATGGTACAGGTTCAGATCTGCTGTTCAAAAGGTTGCTATGAGTCAAAGTTGACTAGATGGCATCTAACACCACCACCATCACCACCACACCTCCATTCATACGTCTCCACATAGTATATTAATAAGCACCCAGCTCCTCCTTTGCTGTCATTTTATTTATCCAATTTGTCAGGGCATCCCTAGTGACTCTAGTTTCAAAATATATTCAAACCTGACCATTTCTCATACTTTCACTGCTAGTACTCTGGTCCAAGTCACTCTTCTCTCTCTCCTGGAGGACTATTATAATGTAGTGTCCCTGCTTCTACCCTCAACCATATCTATAATCTACACAGATGCCAGAGTCATCCTTTTATTATATAAGTCAGATCAGGTCATTCTCTGCTCAAGTCCTCTCATATCTATCTACCTGCTCATTCACTATAAAAGCCAAAGTTCTTATAGTGGTGACAAGGTCGGTCTGGATCCCTTGTGACTCCTGATTTCTGTTCTTCATCTGCATCTTCCTGTTCTGGGCCACAGTGGCCTCCACCCATCATGGTTGTCTGAACAGTCAAAGTACATTGCTGCCCAGCCATTCTTGCCCCAAAATGCCTATCTATCCTGCTCCCTCACCTTCATCAAGACTTTCTAAAAAGTCACCTTCTCAGTAAGCCGACACTGACTACCTTATTTGAAACTGCAACCTGTTCCTTCCCTCGCATCAAGTATTTCTTTTAACCTTCCTTTTTCCTATGTACATCTTTTATCCCCATCTAACATTATTTTTAATGATTTACCGTAATTATGTTTATTAAGTAACTCCCCATAGTAGAATGTAAGCTTTCATTTCCTATGTCTTTAACAGTGCCTAGTACATTGCAGGCAATCAATGAATTCTTGTCAATGAAAGAATGAAAGGCCTAGTCTTTCCCTGTTGCTCTGCACCCTCTGTGGCACTGGGGCCTTTTTCACACTAGAAGAATTCTGGGATCAGTGGTTTCTGGACAGCCTGGAGGGGCACTTTCCTCTGGGAGCCCTTTCTTCTTTCCTTGACCCAGTCGAGTACCTGTTCTGGGCTCCTCTGCACAGTCCCATGAATGGGCTCATTTCCACTCTGAATCTCATACACGGTTCATGCTAAGCTTCTGGCCACTCACCTGAAAATCCTCCTCATCTAAGATTTCCTTCCTCCACTTGATCAAGAAGGCTGCACACACATAGAGATGGAAGTGGGAGAACCCTTCCGGTTCAGACTTGAAAGGAAAAACAAAACAAAACAAAACAAAACAAAACTGTTAATTCACTAAACTTGGACACGGCGCTTGCTCTGGTCTCCTCAGGTCCAATCCTCTTAGGAGCACAACACCCCTTCATGTGATGACTGGGCAAACAGAAACCTGGAAAGCCTTCAGCACAAGCTTTTCCCACAATGCTAAGGCAGGCAGAGAAGTAGTAAGGAAACGGGGAACTTCTGAGAGATACATCCCACTCAGGACAAGATGCCGGGAACTTCAGGGATGGACTGGCACAGAAAGCAGGGAATCACTCCATACCTGGTACGTGTCCCACAAGCGGATGGTACAGCGAAGGGGAAGCTCCCGCATAAGCAGGTTATTCATCCAACGAAAGGCAAACTGTAGGTATTCAACCTCGTACTTCCTGAAGTGATTATGTACCTGCCCTGAAACAAGAAGTACCATTGGCCCCAGGGAGCAAGCTTGGATCAGACCCTGGAAGGCTGTTGTGAGCTAAATATTAGCAGTTTTCATTTCTTATCACCCTCTCCCCCTAGGGAAGCTGACATAGGGGGTAAAGAGGCTGACTGTCTTTTCTGTTTGATTTCAACATCTCCTACTACACTACATGATACACATCACACAGTCCTTAAATGCGGACTGGAACTGTTTCAATATCCTAGAGTCATTCCCCAGATAGCTCTCATCCATCACAGGGCTGTTCTGGCCAGAGAACAGGAGGCACAAGGCCTGGTTGGCTGCTTAACCTTGGTGCTTCGAGAAAGAATGAGAGTAGAAAAGAACCTTAGAGGGCACCTTGGCCATCCTCCCACAGGTGAGGAATTCTTCTTCAGCTTCATTGACAAATGGTCAGCTGGCAGGTTCTTAAATCCTACAGTGGGAGGCTGACTCCACTGACACATGCATTGCTTCACCAGAAAGGGCTTTTCCATAGGAAACTGTATGCAGCTGCCTCCCAATTCCTCCCCCTCTGCTGGCATCATTGTGGTATTCTGGAGCTACCTGGACAACCTGTTCTCAAACTCTATGATAGCAATTCAAATAATGTTTAATAATGTAGAGTTTGTTCTTAAAACAGCATTCTCCCCTGCTTTCTACTCTATAAAATGAAGCAGCTCTTCATCCTTTAATGGGTCTGGGGGAGAATAAAAAAAGTGAGAAAAGGAAACTAACACAGCTATAATGGCACCTCATCATTTTTATTGTAAGAACTATTAATAATTATGTTTTGTGGAAGAGGATTTTATTTTGCAAGTTTAAAAAATTATTTAAAGTTTTGTAATGAGTGTCACTTCTGTCTTTTAAATAATGCATATACACACTCACACACATATACACACATATATATGTGGCCTAGTGGTGAGGGGTTGCACTGTCAAGCCAAAGGCACATGGTTTGAATCCACCAGCTGCTCTGAGGCCCAAAGTTGGGCAATCTCCTCCTGTGTGATTTATAGCCTCTGGAAACCCACTGGAGGGTCAGCTATGAGTCAGTTTGGACTTGATGGCATATAACAAAATAACATATATGTATAATATAAATTTTAAAATCCATTAGCCTAATGTATTTTTTAAATTTTAGGTGTGTGTGTGCCGTCAAATCGGATCCAACTAGTACAGGAGGAGATTGTCTCTCCGTCTTTAGATGAGCATCTGGTGGACTCGACCTGTGCACCTTTGGGATTGCAACGCAGCTCCTTGCCACTAGGCCACCAGAGGTCCCTTATCCTAGAGTATTTAATATCATTTATTATGACTTTGTAAGGACACAAAAAAGTAAGGCGAGGACAAGATGTATCAGAAACTATAGGCTTTGTTCTTTGGAATCTCTGAGTGCCGGCCTCTGCCAGCAGCTTTGGGGCCCTGCCCAGGGCAGCATACCCTGCATCAAGCTCCCAGTGAGGGCTTCTAGAAACCTGGACCTGAGCTCCGCAGGAGGGAGGGGAGGTGGTGATGGCGGAGACTGACAGCTGGGTCAGGGTGATAAGACCCAGAGAAAACAAGGCATGTACAATGTATGCAAAGCAACTATGAATAAGCAAATGAGCTGGGGAAATGGAAATAAAAGGAAGCTGGAGAGAGACGAACAAATTAGGAAAGGTTTTTATGAAAAGAGAACCTAGAAAAGGACAGGAAAAATATGCAACTTTCATGTGGGAAAAACTGCATGAAACAGACAGAAAAATGTAAGAATGGAAAAACCCTGAAATAAGGTTGATGAGTTGATGTGGTAACTGGAGAATCACAAAGACACTACTACAACCACAACTGAATGTGCACTGAAGAGACCACTTCACAGAGGACCTCGTGTTTGGGTTCTGTGCACTCTTCAGGGAACTCAAATCTGACTTCTCTCCTTGAACCTCAGGTTCTTTATCAGTTAATAGGAGGGTTCCACCAGTTCCTTTTTAGTTCTAACATTCCACAATTCCAAGATAGAGCCAAGGAACTACAGTAATGACTCCTGTTCTCAAAGACATTCTGCTTCAGGAAAAGCCGTATCTCAATTCCCCCATCCAAGATCACAGGGAGATACGGAAAATCCCTCTGGAGTACAAGCCAGACTTAAACGGATATGAAAATAAACAGAGGTGTCTTAGAGAAGATGTAGCCCGAGTGCTCCCTGGAGGTAAGTATGAGAAAGCTGCTCTTACATACTGTGGATGAGTTGTTAGGAGAGACGACTCATTAGAGAAGGACATCATACTTAGGAGGGTGCAGGGTCAGTGAAAGAGAAGACCCTCAACTAGATGGGCTGACATAGTGAGAGCAGCAATAGTCTCCAGTGAGTCAGGAGTTGTATGGCAGAGGACAGGGCAGAGTTCAGATCTGTTGTTCACAGGGTTGCTGAGTCAGACTCAACTCAACAGGACCTTACAACAACGACACTCTCTTGGTCAAGTCCAGAAGTCCTGAGTAGCATCACTACATGAATAACAAGGTCAAACTACAGACTTGATGCTGAAAGCAACTAAGAGGCACAGAAGGTCTCAGAACAGAAAAGGAACATGACTATTAGGCTTTAGAAAGATGAGCCCAGAAGTTGTGTGATGATAGATGGCTTAGAAGAAGAAAAAAATATGGAGGAGCTGAGTTCTTGTAGGAGAAAGTGGCAGAAAACCAGGAATTCTGGACCAAAGCTTTGACTAGGAAACAAGAGTAGTTGGGTGAATGTGAGGGGAGGTAGTAAATTCAAGTGGAGGCACTAAACTTAGTGACAGAAAATTAAAAGGAAAGAAGAATTTGAGGTAACAGGGTTTTCATCTCACCTTGCTGTTAAAATGAACAATGATGATGGCAAAGCCAATAGCAGTGAGTGTAACAGAAAGGGTTATGGGTAAGAGGAAAGCTTAGGAAAGGACTCACAAGTACAAGTGGCTTATTTTGTAATTGTACTGTGCTACTGCGAGAAGATTCCTTTCTCTGAACTTACCATCAATTCGGCTGACGAGCTCTTCCAGTGCTTTGACTTTCTTCTGGATCCCCGGTTGTGCAAAGGTGTAGTTATCCTGCAAATGATAGAGCCCAGGATTAGCAAGGGCTCCAAACAGCTGTGCTTCCACCTTTCAGGGTCACTGAAACATGTATAAAAACACGAGCAGTAGCTCCAAATCTAGGGTCAATGGCCAATAGCAATGTTTTGGGGACTAATATACAGGATAGTAGGGTATCAGGGAGATTCTAGCAGAGCTACTTATTGAGGAGGTAAATTCATGCACAGAATAAAGGACAGGTACAATCTGAAAACATTAAAGTGAAGACAACACGGAGATCTTCTTAGACACCTAGGGTCTACGAGAACTAGACCATGTGAAAGTTGTAAAGCCAGTGAAAGAGAGCGGCAGACGGATCAAAAAGGAACAGGATGAATTATGTCAGGAGTGTGGCCCTGTCCGACAAAGAAGAGTAATAAAGAAGTCAAAGACTTGAAGGCCCTGGACTTAGCCATCCCCGTGAGGGTGGAAGCAGCTCACCTGGATCCCATCTAGCAGCTTGCTCATGCACCAAAAGCTATCGGCTTCAATGCTTCGTAGTATGTCCTGAGACAAGTTGGTCACATCAAAGTTCTCCACATCCTCTTCTGTAAAACAAAAGGTGAAGAAAGTCCAGAGGTCTTATCTAAAAAATGGAGAGAGAAAGATAGAGTCTAGTGTCTTCAATGGAGTCCTCAAAGGTCAAGGGAGAACCAGGCTAACTTGATGCCAAGGAGCAATGGCCTTGGCACATCCCCTTGGCAGGTGGGCAGAAATTCTGTGAAGATTTCATCCAACACTGAACAAACCACTCTCACATCAATCTTTTGGAGTCAACCTCTCTTTTCCTTCCTCTGCACTTCTTTATTGAGGTTTAGAAAAATATAATTCAAGGTCTAATGTTCAATGGATAAGGGTAACAGAAGAATCTGAGCTGTGGAGAAGAGTACTGAATAAGCCATGGACTGAGAAAATATCAAATATATCTTGGAAAAAGTGCAGCCAGAATGCTCCTTGGAGGCAAAGATGACAAAGTTTGGTCTCACAAACTCTGAATATGTTGCTAGGAGAGGCTAGTCCTTGGAAACGGACATCACGCTTGGAAAAGGGCATCATACCTTGGAAAGGTCGGTGAAGGAGAGAAGACCTTCAACAAGATGAACTGACACAGTGACTGAAGCAATGGGCCTGAGTATGTCAGAGATTGTGAGGATGGCACAGGATAGGACAGGGTTTAGAGCTCTTATTCATGGGGTCGCTATGAGTCATACTTGACTTAATGGCACCTAACAACAACAATGTTCAATGAACTATACTCAATTCCTTTGAGATGGCCTGAAAAAAATCCTTTGTTTTCATAAACTCTATGACCTGTCTAGCACCGCCATATGCACTGAGGAGAGCTGGGATGAGACAGGCTCTATGGCTCGTTTTAAAGACGGCATCCCTAAATCCTGACACAGCTGACTTACTGCCTCAGCACTCAGAGGTGAAGATGAGGTGATGAAGGAAAGAAGACCCAAACCTGTGGGCATCTGTAGGGTTGACTTCTACCAAGTGTGTACTTCCCAAGATGAATTCTGCAGAACATTAAGCCTACAAGAGGACACTAAAGAAAAAAAGAGGCTCCACAGCAAATGTGGTTGAGAAATGCTATGTTCTAGTTCCCCATCTTATCTTGGGAGAGTCACAAAGAACACTGGGTACAAAGTGTCTGAGAAGTTGTATAAAATTCTAACATAATAAATCTACTTGACTCTGTTTATCTAGCATATTCCAAACACTGTCAGCCATGGAACTTTCTTAAAGTGCAGAATAGTCTCATAGTGCCTTTTAGAAATCCTACACTAAACAGAAAGATGGGGAGATTCTTTCAATGCTCTTCCCTCCTATCGCATCAAAGGCTGTAGTGAGAAAGGCTCTCCTCACTCAACCATATAGACCACTGCACACTGTCAGAGGCCAGACATGGAGATGTTCAGGCCTCTGAGTTCTGTGTCTAAGGCACCTTTTCTCCTTAGACACATAAACCCTATTTTCAACATATGATGTTCATTGCATTCCCTTCTGATTCTGAGAGACATAGGCATCTAACAAAATGTATTCAGAATCCAGCTCTTTAATTTTGAGATTTACTAAAAAAAAGAACATATTAACTGAGCCTCTTCATGACAACATGCAACCTGGATTGTCATCATGTTTAAAGAGACTTTCTACTGTTATTATTAATGAACACTAAGTGCTGTTTAAAACAAACAAGAATCTTGGGGAAAGTAGGTTTCTCTGTAAGGAAAGCTATGACTGGGAAAAACCTAAAAGTCTAGCCCTGAATATGTTGCTGTTATGTGTCGAAACTGACCCACAGGTGGCCCTCCAGTGGGTTTTCAGAGGCTGTAAATCACATGGGAGGAGACTACCCATTTTTCCCCGGATGAGCAGCTTGATTGATCCAAACCTCCTGCCTTTGGGTGGACAATGCAACTCCTTCCCATTCAGCCACCAGAACTAACTCCTTGGCCCAAAGGATATCCATAGTTAATAAATGTAAAATTCTAGTCATAGTGTTTTTTATACAGGCACAATTAATTATTTTATTGTTGTTGGGTTTTTTTATGTTCTATTTTTATTCATTTTTTTAAACTGTTGCACATTTCCCTCCCCCTCTTCTGCTCTCCTTCTTTAAACCTCCCCACAATATATCCCTTGTTCCAGATTGTTTTCATGCATATAATTAGTTATTTTAGATGAAATCTCTTAGGAATTTAAGTGGCATGGGGAAACATGTCATAGTATTAGAGTAAAAATAAAAAGCAAGATATATCATTATTGATGATATATTCATAACTACTATACATATGGCATTCACATGTGTTTATATAAGCACAGGGGAAAAGCAAATTATATCACTAGATTTATGATGCTTATCCCCAGTTGGTGCAGATAAAGGATATTTCTTGTGTTACTAGACTTTTCAAAATTTTCACAATAAACATTATTTTTATAACCATAAAAAACTGCAACCAATTTTAGGGGGGGGAAAAAAAGGATTGACAGGATTGACTAACCTGGCCTTTAAAATGCACAACCCCCCCCTTAAAAAAAGAAACCAAACAAAAACCCCAGTTGGTAAAATAAAACGAAGTTTGCAAATAAGAATTTATATAGTCTGTAAAGGTCTTTTGAGAAATCTAATAAAAAACTTCTAAGAAAATAGCATTTCTTTACATAGTGTGTTCAAGTGGCCAGGCTGTATTATGAATTCAGCTATTGATATTCTGAATTTTTATCTTTTTTTTCTGTGTGTGGTTCATATGACAGCTTTGGGACTTTTCCATGTCGTCGGACAAGCACCAAGCCCATCGCTCCCTGGTGTGCCTCCACCACAGTGGACATATACTCTCCCCAGGTCTGCCTCTAACAGTCACAAGCAATGCCACCAGGAACCATCTCCCTTCAATTCCATACAAGAACTGCTCACAGGTTTGTGGTGACCAAACCCAACTGGTACCAAGAGGCTGCACGCTCGGACCAGCTCAGCAGCCTCCATTCACTCCCACTAGCTGTGCAAACAGTACTTGAGGAAGAAGAATCACGTCTTAAGTCTAAAGCATGGCAGCTCACGCTAATTCATTCTAAGTGGCAGCTTCTCTTTTGTGAACATGCTGTTGTTATGTGCCTCGAGTCGCTTGCGATTCATAGTGACCCTATGTACAACAGCCCTAAACTCTGCTCTATCCTGTGCCAATCGCACTGCCTCTGACACACCCATCCC